GTTACTTTGGTACTCACATGAAATGTTGTGCAAGTACCACAAGTTCAGCAATGCCCAACTATGGACAGCTCAATGTTAATACCATTTACTCTTTGAATTAGCGTACACCAACATGATAATCTTCTAAGAAACACCTAAGAATATATAGAGATAAAGCTGAAAAATACAGTTTTAACTGATGGTACTTTATAAACATCAAACTGTCCAATATTGGACCCTGCCAATAGACGGCGCCTGCACGATAATGTGGGCCTTCAGAATGGTTCATCGGTTGCGAAGTGAAGTGCTTCTCAAACTGAAGCGATAGGGGAACTAGGGGCAAGAAGGTCACCCGGGGCAAGAGTGCCATCCTCGATATATTTTGAAAATGAAATCATTTCAATCCTATCTTACGATGAACCACGATGAAGCATTCTAAAAAGTTCTGTCCGAATCGAAGTCGTAAAAAAATGCAAAAAAACATTTTGTGTTGATGCATTGAAAAGCTAGTTTTTTATAAGAATAAGGCATCATAAAATAAGGTTTTCGAAATTTCCAATTTATTTTTTTCACAATTTCTGCATTGAGACGTCACTATTGATGGTTGATTGAAACATTAGTAACAATAAATTATTAAATATTTTCTTTAATTAATCAAAAATTATATTCCTAAAAATAAACTTTATACGGGGCAAGAGTGCCACCCCTACATTTATGTATTAAATTGTACAAAACTGTTCAGAAATTAGCACAATTGGGCATTTATGTTTTCAATATACATTGTCTTCGTGAAATTTTGGAAAACAAACTGTATAAAATAGTATCAAAAATAGTTTCCATTTGAATTCTTTGACGCACATGGTTTATATGTTTTGGATAAAAACAAATATCGTTAAATCAATATTTTAGTGCAGTTGCTGTCATACCTAAGAATAGTAATTTGTTGTTTAGAAATGAACATTTATCAGTTTCACTTCATTTTAGACATATGGTCTTTTTGCCCCATAAGAGTGGCCCTCTTGCCCCGTAGCATTTTTTAGAGCAGGTACGACATTACATTTTGAAAAAATCATTAACATTTTTTGATGGGGTTTAATTTTAATTTCAATGATGATACATGGAGACAAGGTTATAAACTTACAATTCGGTTCACGAACTCCTATAAATATTCACGGAATCGCATATTACACGGACAGAAAATTGTTTGCATTGAACCAAAAAAAATTTCATTTGTATTTAAACAAATAATTCCGGTTGAAATTATATTGCATTTTATTGTTTCGATAATATTTATTCAAATAAATTCAAAATAAGATTCTTTTTGTTTTAATAAGCCACTCTTCAACTGCAACTATTGTAAAAACAACAATATTCTTTTATTAAGCAGCCAACAATAGTTGATTTTAATTTAACATTTATTTGTTGTGTCTGTTCCCCGGGCCATAATGCAAAAATAACTACCAACCATTCCCTCGTTTCCACCCGGACAAAAATGTAAACAATAACAAAAAAATTCTCGTTTGATTCAGCTCTAGAGGTAAGCAAGTATGCTGCAGTCGCAAAATATAAACAGTTTTTCTTTTTTATCCTTTATTTTTTCCGTCGATCTTATTTTCAGTATTGAGTACCAATGCTCCCGACGCCAGGAAGGCCGATCCCACACCTGGACCCTACTTATCGACCCATCAACTCATGAACCGGAGAGATTTTATGCCTCCGAAAGGTTTCAATTGTTATTCTGTTTGTTACAAATAGAAAACAAAACATAAAAATAATCCCAAATTATTGAATAATGAATCAATAAACATATTTTTATTTCTACTGCGTATATTGTCAGTCTAAATAAAATAAATTGATTGAATCAACAAGAAATCTCTTTTAAAAACAAACATATTTTTTGTTGACCCAGCTGCCAAATTTGACAGCTTACGTCAAAACCATAAAAGCTCTCTTGTAAATTCGAAAATATTTTCTTTTTGATTTAACAATCCATGGGTTTTTAGAAACAAAGATACTGGATTGTTGAAATAATAATGATTTCTTTTTCATTTTCATTTTCAAGCACAGAAGGGGGTCATAGGGCCAAGTCACCAGCGAAAAATCGCTGTCCATACTGCACCAGGGTAGAGGTATAGATTTGGCATCACAGAATAATAACCACAGGGGTCAAATGAATCCTATTTACGATACCGGATAGTAAGGAAAGCTGTTGAACATAGGGGATAGTCAGAGTAACAGCAATAATAGTGAAAGTTAGGAAAATAAGCAGGTAGAGATGGTTGATTTGCAATGGCTATCGACTCTGTTATATGGCCTACCGTATCAGATTCAAATTTAATGTCGTTTAATATTGCGCTTATTACTTTTATCTTTATTCTAAGCAATCTCCTTTCATACTTGTTTGTTTTAAAGTGAACTGGATGAAATGATTGTTTTATCAAAATTATGTTAAAGTTAACTACTATTCATATTTGCTAATTAATACCTAAATGTAATTTTTAATTTTATGAAGATAGCAGCCTGTAATTCCGTACCAGAATCCGCCTCCAATTTAATGTCTTTTGTGGATTCGTAGTAGCAAAGTTGTGCTAAAAGCTAAATGTTACCTAAAAATACTACCTAAATCGTTCACAATCAGAGCCGGGCCACTGATGAAAACCAAAACTACAACCCTGAAAAAACGAATCGATATTTTCGAAGGCGAACACAACCTATTCTTGCTAGTGATTCTGTCCAATTGTTAGGTATCCAAATTATAGTCATTCTTAAATTTATTATTGAATATATAGATGAATTATCTATTATTGAATAACTATTATTTACGATAATTACATGAAAGAAATAACATATAAACTACAAACAAAACGTGACTACTAAAATCTCAAAAAGATATTCTCACAAGTATATTGCACGCAACCAGGAATCTCAAAACCATTAGACGCTATAATGATACTCTGCACATGTTAGACACAAGAAAAGGCCAAAAAGCAAGCGTCCGACACACAAAACCCTCCAAATTCACTGGCAGTCACAATCAACGATTCTACGAATCGCGAGCGCTCACGAATCATAAAACCGCTGACTGCGACACTCTGAAAGCGAAATTGACAGGCTCTATGCATCAAACACCCGCCCTCCAATCTCCTCCCGCATCCAACAACACAAACCCCCACTACAACATCTAACGAATTCAAAACTCCGAAAATCACTCATCTATAGAAAGTGAGTGGAAGCAACCCTGCATGCAACTATTCTTCATGATACGCTTTGTCTGTCTATCTTTCTATTAGGCCTGTGGACATGTGTTAGCTTCGAAACTTCTAACCAAACTAGGAAAATTTTGAAATCACAAAAAAAAAATCAAAGGTAATTACAAGCAAAATACATATTGATTATTTTACGCAAAACCGAGCAAGTATTATTAAATCTCTTGTATTGTATGCTAATGCTAATTGACTGTAACAAAAACTAATATGCTTAAATAAAATAAAATATTAATAAAATGATATGCAAAATTTACTAGAAGGTCATTACTTTATTGGTGAGAAGTTTCTAATAAGCCCTCCCAGTTCCTCTGTATACAGAACAAATCTGATACTATAATCAGAATTGCTCAGTCTGCATGAAGCAGCCGATTGCATCAAGGAAGTTCTATTAACAACCAAGAATTAATCGTTTGAGGTATACTGAAGCATTAAGAAGGTGATATGTGTCACTATGGGAAATCATCATCTTTGCAAATATAAAGAAATTAAACATAACCCTTTGCTTCAGTACCGTCAACCTCCATGTCCATGGGGAGGGTTGAAATAATAATGATTTCTTTTTGCAGCCAAAACAAAATGAAATTCTTATTAAATTTACGTCAAATATTATTACGTTTAAAATATTTTTTTCTGCGTGTAAAACGCGCTATCGTTAGGGTGACCTTATTGCCCCTAGTTCCCCTACATTTCTCAATTTTTCAACGTTATCCTAACGTAAACTTAATATCACAGACAAACAGACGTAACTCTTCATTGTGTATCTTCGTTCATGCATTTAACGGTTGATTTGAATATTATCAGTTCCGCGAACTACTCGCCGCAGCGCTGGCATCTGATCACTTTGACGTTTCTATACATTCTATAGAACTTTTATGCAATATTGTTTACGAGTTATCGAACAAGCTTGTTTTCCGCGAGAAGCCAGATAGATGTCGCTACTGAGGTTATATGTTTTGAGATACTATGTTTTCAAGAACAAGTTTATCAAAGAGTTACGTCTGTTTGTCTGTGTTAATATTATCACCCATATGCCCGTCCACGCCTGAAACTCATCCACCACACAAAATCAGCGAAAAATGTTTCTGTATGACAAACACGTCCAGACATAAACGAGAATATGGGTGCATATCTTCACTGTAACAACTACGGGTAATCATCGAAAGTACTTGCATTTTACTCAGACACTTTTGAGCAAACAGCAATCACTCTCTCATACTCCAAATTGGCACGACCAAATTGGCACAACAACGCCCTATACGCTATCTGACCAAAGCGCAGGGAGTTCTGATGAAGCCCATTTATAGCCAAAAAGGCAAAATAGCGTGCCTATGGTTATTTTGGCTCGCTTTCCATTATTGCTTACATCATATTTTTTTTATTATCTCTAATTCCTCTTACACTAACCCTACTATTTTTCCTTTTAAATATAGCTAAACCTCGCATATTGTTAGAATTGTTCCGATCCGACACCCACCGCTAATAATGTTGAGTATTGATTTTCACTCCCATGATGTTTACTTCTGTTATGTCCACTTCTGCTTGCTGTAATTCTTCATCTATTTCCTGTCTCTTGCTTGTGTGACAGCATCTTCGTACATGTGTTTTGATGGGAGTATAAAGTGAAAATAAGAATTAAATTTTGGTTGCCGAAAGCAGTCAATGGGTACCGAAGCCAACATTTACCCTACCTAGTCAAAACTGAAAATAAGATAGTTTAAGATTTTCTTTTTGTTCCATGAAAAATGTACAAACAAATTTGAAAGAATTAGACAATTTAATCGTTGAAATAATAAGTTACTATAAGCTGTATGAAAAAAAGACATTTTTCAATTTCATCGTAGTAATTATATTTTATAGGTAGGTTGGCGGGATAAATTATAAATTCCTGCGTTCCCGAACATCAGGAATGGACATAGAAATAAGAGCAACTTCTTTTTTTCTAATTTCAAACGACGTTGAATTCATGTTTAGAGTTTAGTTGGCAGTCACCTCACGTGTAGTTGATGCATTGACTGAATTGTTGAGATCGGTCGGCTCAGTACACTTCCAAAGACCATAGGTCTTTCCTACTGTGGTCTGCCACAATCGCAGTGTCCCATCTTCCGATCCACTAGCATAGAGTTCTCCATCTGGACTGAAGCTTACGGCATGTACAGGTCCAAAATGACCTTTAAAGGATTCTGCAATACAAAATTATGCTTGTTAGGAATAATGGTACTATTTTTTCTATGTAAAAACCAAAACATTACCGATTTCGTTTCCAGTTATGTAGTCAAATTTGTACATTTTGAAATCTTCTCCACCGCATACAAAAATTTGTTTGTCCGGATGCAAGCTGGCTGAGCTGACTTTAGTTGGCACAATGATTTCCTTCATTTTCTTCAGGGTTTCCGTTTCAAAGAAGGCAACATTTGAACCATATGTGACAGTCAATATGTTTCCATCCCGCGACAACTCTAGACTGTTAGGATGAGCGTTGAACTCAACGCGCATTGTTTCCTGACCACTCATACGGTCCCACAGACGCATGGTCTTGTCGTCAGCACAGCTAATGACATATCTGTCATTGCGAGCAAATATAGCTCGCTTGATGTTACCAGCATGACCAGAGTAAGACTCCACGGGTGTACCTGATGCGTTTAGATCAAATACTCTGACTAGTTTTTCATTGCTTCCAGTTACCAGACATTGGCTATTGCTGTCGAATGCTACCGTTTTAACAATGTGATTGTGTTGTAAACTATGCACTTCCTCGCCTGTCACCGCATTCCAAATTTTTCCGGTAAAATCCGCGGCCCCAGAAGCGGCCAATGTGGCTTTGTTGTTGAGAGCAACACCCCACACAGCACCTTTGTGGCCTTCGAATGTACCCACCCAATCTCCAGTGTCTCCAAGACGCAGCATTGGTTTGCCATCTGTAAAAAAAAAGAAACAAAATCCTTGAAAACAAATTCTTGATATTTATAGAGATTATCAAGTCTGGTTGAAATGGTGCGCTGTATTGCCTTGTTCAGACTACAGAGTTATAACGTGGTACTGTTTACATGCACTTAGAATTTTTTTTCGATGAATTGAAAAATTCCGAATCTTAATTTAAAAAATGCCGAGGGAATCCACGATGAAAGTGTGGTTTAAATCTCTCTGGCAGAGCTGCCAGGTGGTTTTATAAAAAATCTGTATCCACTCTATTAAAAAATCTGTATTTTCTGTATTGACGATTTTTTTCTTAATTAATCATGTTTTGTAGTTTTACAAATACAGTGCATACAAAATAACCATAAAAAGTGCTTAACCACCTATTCGGGCTATCGTACTTACCATACGGGATATAATTGCGCCATTTGTGATATCGTCCGTACTTATTTATAAGAGTGATATGAAGCCGTTTGAAATTGTATGGAGATTTTAGTTTCTATTCATTATCTACCTGATAAGCAGTTTTAAATGCAAAAAAGTGCACGAGTTCATTACTATTTGATATTTTTAATACAGATGAATACAATTAATTACATCACACGCTATGTCTGAAGGCACTTTTTTTGCAACATTCATGTACCTCAGATTTTTCTTGACAGGATGTTAGTTTTGATCCTAACAATCAAATTTGTGATGGTTTTAAAATATTTCATCTTGGGTTTTTTGAGAAAAAGTGTTTTGAAGTTTACAAAGCCGATTATGGACTATTGACGATACAAAACTATTACGAATTGAACAAATGCAGTTAAACAATGTTCAAATGATGATTGAATTAATCTAAATGGCATTAAAGAGTTCTCTTTGACTCTCAAGTAAGATCCGTATTGATTATGTTGACTTTGACCAAAATCAATTAATAATTGTTGCTAGAACAGCTTCTTAATTAATTTCTCTTCCCTCATAATAGTAGAAGAGAAAGAAACGAGCAGGACAGTCTGAGGCAGCCACGGAATTATAGTAGGCATTGATTTTCGTCCTGTTTCGAGTGTTTTTGTTTTTATTGGAGATATCGTGTAGAAAATCTGGAAAAAATTTAAATAAAATTAGCTTGGATTTAAAAAAAAAATAGATATGTTTGACTCGATGGCGAGATTGAAAATAAATTCTGGCAACCATGACGAATTGGTTTGAAAATCGTCTAACCCATAATACAGGAATGAAACTCACATGAGGTTAGCTGCTCTTGCCCAGTGAGTTTAGGTAGTCCTAATCTTGAATTACTACAGAATTGCTAGAGCTGCATTGCAATTCCCATATTTTGAATAAGAAAACATTCAGGAAGGTTCAGCGACTTTCTAGGAAATTATGCGAACTATAGGGAACTGTAGTGAATTTTTGGAAAGTTCGGCAAACTATTAATAAGTTCCTCCAAAGAAGCAGAGAAATTCAACAACTTTCAGAGATGTTCATTGAACTTCAGGAAAGACTTCAGGAAATTTCTTCAAACTTTAAAAGTGTGCTTCGCTCTCCAGACCTGCCAACATCAGGGACATTTTGTGAGCTTCAGGGGAGTTCAATGCCATCCTGGTAAGTTCTACGAACTTCAAGAGTGTTCTGTGAACTATAGCAACATTATATGAATTTCAATGATGTGCTGCAAACAGTTCTTTAAACTTGAGGAAATTTTTGCAACCTTTAGGATGGTCTGTGAACCACAGGAAAATTTAATAACATTAGGAAAGTACTATGAATTTTGAAAAATATCTGAGAATTTCAGGAAAAAAAACAAGAACATCAAAGAACATCAAGAAAGTTAGAAGAATTTCATCGAAGTTCAACGAAATCAAGGAAAAACATATGAACAGGGATTTGAATTTGAATGTTACTTCTATAAGCTGTCTCATCGGGTCGTTGGTGGAACAACTCCCACTCCATGTCTTAGAAAACAGGTATAATATTGAGAATTTGTTGCAATATCTCTTTCTCTTTTACGCTTCCTTTATGAAATGTGATCGAGGGCATGAGCAGGGTGGAAGGGCGTAAAAATGAGAGTTTGCCACCTTCAAAAATCGTGAGTACGGCTCACGCATGTTACATTGCCGTTTAACGGTATAAAAAAGGGAGCAGTTTATGAAAATTGAGGTTCATAAATGTCCAGAAGACCAAACTCGACAGTCAAAGTTGTGCGGGTGTGTAGATATTTGTAAGATAAAAACACCACAGAAAAAAAAAATTGATAAAAAATTTCAAATTATGTCGAACGCAGGTTTCACAATTCAGACTTCAGAATCTCTCCAAATTGGCAGATGAAAGTAAGCATCACTTTGTTGCCAAAAGCATTAGATAGTTAGCAGGCAAAAAACTAGTCTAGGTTAGTTTTTCAAACGTCGCAGCAAGACCAATTCGTTTAAATTTGAAACAAATCTAAGATTTCTCACGAAGATTTACTCAGTTTTAAGAAAGATCTTAAGCTGAGTGTTAATAAGGTCAGTATGTAACAGTTATCTTTATAACTTTATATTTTACATGACTTTAAACTATACTTTTGTTATATTACAGACGCTAAAACTGGCTAAATGTATGAGACATACCGGCCGTCAAACTATCCAGCCGGGCCTCAAATCAGCTATGATGAAAGACAACGCGGCCAAGAATGATCCCAATAACGCAATATGGTGGCTGCCGCAAATGCTCAGCATAAGCAATTTGGATTCACTGGTCGCCATTGTAGGTGCTTGAAAAACGCCATTACCTGATAATCGTGCAGTTTTTGAAGGATGCAATTTTAATCATCAGCTAATGAAAAACAACACATCGCTGATTTTTCGATATGTTGTGTAAAAAAGCCTAAATTTTTAAATAAAAATATAAAAACACATTGCACCCTCTATCTACAAACCATGAAAACCATAATAAACGAATACAATCAATGTTTTCAAATATAAAATCCCAATTTTTTAATATCATTATATTGCATCATTACAAGTACTTTTAATTACCTTTCAATTGATATTTTGATCTTTAAAATTGGCCCAGTTGTTCAAAAGCTATAAAAAAATTTAAAGTCATTTTTGAAAAAAATAAAAAATAAAAGTTTTTTGGACTACCCTAACGTTAAATAATCACCCTAATGACAAAATGAAAAAAATATTTTACGATAAGGTTCAAAACTACCATTTCCTACCAAATTCTGAGAACCACTATATCGTTTTGCAATGGAATGGCTCAATAATAGTAAATTTAGAGACTAAACCATTGTTTTAATTATGTTATTAATTTAAACATTCTGAGATCTGACATTGTTACGATATCTGACGGTAGCGAAGAGGGAATCTTACTGTATCATTGAAACTTAGTGTTTTGACAACTTTTATCCCCTTTTGAATCATTTTCAGCTGAATTTGTTTCGATCTGTAACAGTTTTGTATCATCAATAGTCCGTATATGCCTTTGTGAACAAAAAACCCAAGATGAAATATTTTAAAATCTTCGCAGATTTGATTGTTAGGATCAAAACTAACTTCCTGTGAAGATAAAACTGAGGTAGGGGAAAAGTTGGCTTCGGCAATACCTTAACCTATTATCGTCAGGGGGGTAAACAACATCCTTGAGAGCTCAATTTTGGCATGTGGATACATTGTGTTTCAGAGCAACTATTTGCCAAATTTGAGTGCTCTAGGACTTTGTTTACCCCCCTGACGATAATAGGTTAAGGTATTGCCGAAGCCAACTTTTCCCCTACATGAATGTTGCAAAAAAAGTGCCTTCAGACATAGCGTGCCCCGTATAAAGTTTATTTTTAGGAATATAATTTTTGATTAATTAAAGAAAATATTTAATAATTTATTGTTACTAATGTTTCAATCAACCATCAATAGTGACGTCTCAATGCAAAAATTGTGAAAAAAATAAATTTGGAAATTTCGAAAACCTTATTTTATGATGTCTTATTCTTATAAAAAAAGTAAAGGGTTGTGTCCTAGACACGACCGCAGTATGACGTAGAACCACACAAAATTGTTGTTTTTCATGCATTTTTGACTATTATACTTTATCTTAAAATTTTCAAGTATTTCAATGTTTCGGTTATGGTTGATTCAAAACAATTTACACATTTTCTTTACAAATATCCATGTGAAATTCCACATGATTTTCATTTGACCACACATAAACAGAATCCACTCAGAAGTACACATGAAATTTACACGCAAATGAATAGTATGTGTGGTCACTAGACTGATGCAAAATTTGAAATTTTCGCTCCACAGTGCTCAAACGGTGCCAAATCGGGTCCTGATTAGCCTCCAAAAGAGAAAACTCATTTTATAAGAAACTGACTTGGCACAAACCATTTGAAGTTTACATGGAAATTACTATGGGAAAACAAAACTTTTTGTTCATTGTCTTCTTGCCTTTTTACACATTGTACTGTTAACACATTTTATTGCTATTCTTATGGGAATTTTTATCAGCTACAACTTTGCAGAAGATCATTTTTCATCCAAACGTCAAATTAAATAGTTATTAATTTTTTAAGAGATTGATAATCTTATGGCAAGATTAAGCAACTGTATTGTGGGCAACACTGTATTCTGCAGTGTGACATAGTAGCCATGATTTTTGTCCTCTATTCTACGCGCCATAAACACCAATGTTGCCTGCTGAACAGTTGATTGAGCATAATCATAAGACATCAGGGACTTGAATCATTAATAATTTTTGTTCCTTACGTTTGATCGAAAAGTGGTTTTCAACAAGTTCAGCTATCATTTTCTAAAGTAGAGTGAACTGGTGAATTTTGAGATAGATATAAACTGAAATTATGGTTTCTCCATAGTAATTCCCATATAAACTTCAAATGGTTTGTGCCAAGTCAGTTTCTCACTAAATGAGTTCAAATTTTGGGAGGCTTATCAGGGCCCAATTTGGAACCATTTGAGCACTGTGGAGCGAAAATTTCAAATTTTGCATCAGTCTAGTGGTCACGCATGGTTTTTAAATGTACATATTTTAAGTAGGGGAATTTACGTATTC